TAATGCATAAAATAACCAGATCCTTTATTTTCTTTCCATTAATTGGAGTCGAAAGACGCTTCCCTAGCTCAACTATGATCCAAAAAGGAGTTTAATCAGAAAACGATACTTTCTTGAGGCTGATTTTCAGGTCGCATATCTCAATACGCATTACAGCCTCAACGCCAAAATGTATTTTCCCGTAACTCTGGCAGACCAGCTTGTAAGTCCTTAAAAAATCGAAGTCCGAAACGGAACCGCTGTTTGTCCACTTGTCAATTAAGGCCTCAGTTGTGATATTTCAGGGCCGATTGATTCTCCAACGAGCTTCTTTGGGATAGCACAAAGGTCAGGGATACGGAAACTACTCTGGATCCTCATATTATGTACGGCAGTCTCACTCACAATTATTCAGGTTTTTAATGTCCAACTCTCGTCATTCATGATGAAGTTTAAAATGAAAATTTTTTAATAATGAATTGTGGTGTGTTTCACAGGGGAAAGGGTTGGTCGAAAACTACATGAACAATCCAACGACCATGAATCTACATATCGAAGTCCGAGCCAGCGTGGAGTTTCCCGAAATCACGTTGTGTCCCTCAGATGACTTCAATCAAACTGCACTAAAACTCCACAATTTGACCTGGAATCATGTTCAATACCCATTTGACCCCTCTCCGGGTACTGTTAATATGAGCTTATTGGAAATGCTTAACGTTTTCACTTTCAAGAACTTTTCTAATATCGTGCACTACTGCAGTTTTTCTCCCCATCGGAACAATAGTCTTTTTTGTCACCGTGGTAACTGGACCTGGATCAATGGTGTTCCCATATACCAAACTGAGGGTAAGTCCGATAATCAACGTTTCTATCCTCATCTTGAAAAAGTTATCAGGTATATAAAAACATTTCTCAGCGGGATATTGGAGAGAGACCCGGTTCCTGGCAGCCCACGAGGATTGGCCTTTGAAAGTTTGCTACACTTTCCATGCTGACACTAGTTTTCCTATAAATCTCCCCTCCCTTCCCTATCTCTTTACGCTTGAATTGAACTTCCAAGACTTCCAAGCCTTAGATGAAGATAGGTCGTCACGGATAATGCTCTAAGTGTATCTGAGCGTTCTTCTTGGCAAGTGTCTTGACTTTTCACCGTGTAGAGGTCCTTTTTGTATAAAGGATTTCTTACCTCTATTAATGCACGACTCAGATAGAGCGAAGTCCTACAATTTCTTGCCATTAAAAACTAAGTGCAATGGGGACGAGTATTACGACCACCAGAAGGTAATTGGAGCCTAGCTCTATTAATGCTCCAGGTAACTTCCATTTATAGAAAGGTGATCCAGGATATATTTCTTAATCACCCACAGTGTTTGGAAACTGCACTAGCTGAGAAGGTGTTTAAGGATGCTTCGTGTTCCATGCCATCCGTGTTACCAAACATACCTCGGCAGGCAAACATGAAGCCCCAGTGCGAACCCGATGAAGCACAAACATTCTTCTCCATTTATGAGGACGCTCAGCAGGCTTACTATCCTCTTACAAACTCCTTTACGTTCACCTGCTGCATATTGCACTAGGGTAAGGTCCTCCGTCGGAGAAGTTCATTTGGCTTAAATCCCCACGAGTGCAACTTGAAGGGTAGACGGCTTCACTCAGCGATTTCGTTCACAATTTGAAAATAATTTTACAGCATTCCATCAAGTCTAGGTCATGAAGTAGACATTGCTCTGTTGCATACTGAAATGGCTATTACAATGAAATATACCATTCTTATAGAGTTCTAACACCCGAATTGAATAATCCATCTCCCAATGCGTTACAGCTGGAAGTAATGGAAGAGGAGAAGCTGACGTCGCTACCTCAGTTTCTCTCCGACATTGGAGGGATGGTCGGGCTGTATTTGGAATTCTCTCTTCTCAGCCTCTACGTATGCTTGGAAACTCTATTCTTGTGGGTCAAGTCGCGTTTCTTCGATGCTCGAATTCAAACCGTACATCCCTAAATTAGATTATCTATGATATAATATATCAATAAATAGGGCAGCTTCACCTACGAGGTTCTCTTGCTGTCATCGAACTGGAAAAACCTACCACACTCGACATTATCTATTTCTTTAATTATCTTCAAAGTCTGGATGAGATCGCTCCTCCTTTCCCTTCTCTCGAGTGAGTACAGTCCCAGCACTTATAAACGCCTCTCGTATCCCCTAACATCATCATTCTTGTGATCCTTCTCGGTATCCCCTCGAGCGCCGACCATTCACCCTCGATTTGTAGGCCTCCAAAACATGATGAAATATTCCAAACTGGGGTATTACCACACAACGGAAGAATAATGCGCGAGTTCCTACTTGCAACTGAATGCCGAATTAATCCTAGAGTCCTGTTACATTTGGCCACCACATATTGCGCTTGCGAGGAAAACCTGAGGTCTTTGTCGATAGCAACTCTTAGGTGTTTCTCTCGGTTTGCCTCTCCCAGTTTATCCTAGCCAGTCGCGTCGAGAGACCTACCGTAATTTCGACCGACTTGGATAACTTTACATTTACTTTCATTGAACCTCATGAGCCATGAGCCAATTATTGCTCCACTAATCCGTAACTCTCAAATCGCACTCTACTCTAGCCCTATCTGCCTCCCCTTTTAAAAGAAAAACCTATTTTGGTGTCGTCTGCAAATTTACTTATTATACCTTCTACGCCTGGATCCAATTCGTTTATGCAGACCAGAAGCAGAAGTAGTCCTAGGACCGAGCCCAGAGGGACCCCGCTTGAGATATCGACCTCCGTCGATGTTTCACATTTACTAATACTCTTTGCTCTCTTCCTGTCAACCAGTTACTCATCCACTCGCTCGTCCTCCCCACGATCCCGTGCACCTCCAGTTCAACCCGAGGTGAGGTGAAATCTCTGACGCGAACGCCCAGTTCAGTTTTAGGGCACAACGCGACTCCTGTCCCATTTCTATCCTTCCGCATGATGTCGTACCCTTGAATCTCGAGTTCCTTATCCGAAATATAAGAACCACCCCAAGTCTCAGTCATTCCGATGATATCGAAATCGTTGTCCAACTCGTCCATTTCATTTGCTGCGTGGATTTGCGTAGAAACACAAAAAGCAAGGAAGAGTCAACTCTTCCTTGCTTTTCCTGCACACCAGTACGCGGCGGTCTAAAGCTGCTCGTGGTGGCTGTCACTTACACCTGATCTCTTACTGCCCCCGCAAGGAAAAATTCACGCCCCAACGATTTGCAATCAAATTTAAAATATGAATTCATTATACCGTTGCGATGTTTGGGGGTTGCATACTATTGTTGTTTCAACTTCCAATTTGCTATTTTAAAATATTGATGTGAGAAGAAGCGAAACAGGTTTCACTCGCAGGAAAACAATGGAATCAGTTTTAAGTATAACAGATAAAGTAATTAATATTCATTGTCATTCATCCCGCTCGTGAAAGCAACTGAGTATGGTACTCGCGAAATAAATATTACTTTCTCTAGAATTATTTACTTCCATAGCTCGTTTAAAAAATGTTTGGATTATCAGAATGGATGCTAATGGAAATTTACTTGATAGTGTGCAAGCGAATGACATTAATTGTAGTCCATTTTTCCGCATTTCCCACAGCATTTTACAACATTGCTTGCATCATGTTTGTTATGCCTTCTAGATATTCGATCCTAGCCATGAAGGCTTCTAAGAAAGTTTTCCGGCAATTGTGTTCCTTGTTTTGCGAGCAAGGGGGGCGTAGGAGTAGGAAGCGACGAGGTCCTGAGACTCTATTACAGACCCAATGATATCCCATTATTAATGGTACTTCAACGATCTCAGAATAAATAATTGGATGTGAGAGGAGCAAAATCAAACGGTAATGTGTCCTTCCCAAACTGGCACAATATGCTTTATTATATTATCAGATACGAGGATAAAATGCGCAGTTTTTGAGGGGAAACACCATGTTCGCCATTACGTGCTCACGCGAGGCCATCAACCCTCACCCGCAACAGTTTGTCGAGTGTAAATATGTTATTGGGAGTTGCTACTGTGCACACGGCGAATGGGCACCTATTGGGCGTCCTTAATGTTTTTTTGGAGTGGGAGGGAGAAGGGCATAATCGTTCCCTACCATATCGCTCATGATTTTTTCATGAGTAGATATGATATGGGACAAAATAGGGGGCTTCTTCCACAATCGTTTCCTTCATTAATGTTGGATATGGATTACTCCCAATCATTTCTCCCTCTTGATGGATCTACGAGGAGCATGCATCAACTTATCGATGAACCTGACGCATGCTGCAATTCCGTAGTGCACCCATATCGCAATCTAACCATGATATAAATCGCCACACTACTCGCCCGTGGGAATGAGGCGATCTGAACGACATCCATGAGAGTATGTTCTCTGTCCCTTACTTATTTTCCTTTTTTACCACATGATCTGGCATAATTGTCGGATGAGATGTTGGTTGAAACCGGTTGGTTTCAAATAACTCGCACATCATGTTTGGCACTTGTGTCTGGAAAGTGAAATGAGGTACTTTACCAATTTTAATCTGTGTCCTCAGGAAACACGGGAACGACGTCCAGTGTACTAATAAGGAACGCTTAGGAATGCAGGTTGCCACAGCTTTATTTGACCATTATTCCAACATTCGTGAAACCAAAAAAAAAATTGATTGATGAAGTACCACGTCAATTGTTTCACGGACTTTCAACGTGTTCCAGAGAACCTTGGCATGAAAATGAATCATTGCCACGGGAATGAGAAGGATCTGTCAGAATGGACTCGGCGATGCCTACTAGGTATTTCATGAAGACTAGGGCCGATTCTCCCAAGTTTTAGAGATATAGAAGAGGGAGGAATATGAGGACTCTCTTTCAAATCATCTCCGATGGGAGAGAAGCGCATTTCTCCAGGAACCTCAGATCTGAGTCTCCTCACGTCATACAAAGATGGCGTAGTGAAGAAAACCTAGAGGCCATCTGTAACTTCCACCGACGCCTATGGCTACCGTAATCTACAAATTCTTCATGAGAAGAACGCGGCGGCATTTACTTTCCCATGCGTTCTTTTCTTCAGCAGGCGCATCATCTGGCAAGGCCTTAAGAACACCTTCCATGAGTGACGTCTCGGCAGCTGCGTCCTCTTCGACGGTAGGTTCTAAGGAGATTTGAAAGAGGTAGGAGGTGCTGCGTGATGCTCCCATGTAGAACCTGCTCCCCCTCTTTGCTTTTTCGTTAGTAATCAAGAACACGATCGCAGCTTCCATTCCCTTGAAAGAATCTACACGGTGAATGAAGATGGGTCCGGAAGAATCGCGTATTTTCTCCTCCATTTCCTTCCTCAGCCGTTCCCCGTGGATGAAAAAATCCGCTGGGTCAGCGAAGAGGATGGCGACGTCCCTGACGTATGTCCAATTCCCGAACTTATCTAATAGGATCCTCTGGATCTCTTCGGATAGGATGGAACTGGGGACGTCAAACGTTAACACCTTGGGACCCCGCACATCGTGCCCCGAAATAATATATTCCCTTTTATACGTTGGGTCACTGAGGCTTGAACGTGTCAAGTCTTCGTCTCTTCCCAGTGAATCCTCATCTCCAGTCCAGGTGTCCAACACTGATCTCGGGTTCCTCATCACTCTAAGTAAAGAACGAGCAATGCCAACCTCCTTCCTCAACGTAACCGGTAACTCTGGCAATGAAAGGGGGTCATAGGCCCTCCAAAAGTACCCTCCACATTCCTTGTGCAGATGACGGAGTGAGGTCAACCATTGGTCAGAAAAAGCATGGCATAAGTCTTCAGCTTCGTCGACGAAGATGTGGAGGAATGCTGGTTTTCTGGTCTTCAGAATACTTTCCATGTCCACGAGTAGGTCGTGCTGCATCTCTGCAGGCATTTCTGCGATGACGGCCGAACACGCAGACAACCTCATAGTGATTCCAAGCATTGATGGACCGACGTATCTTTCTAAATAGAGCTGAAAAGCAATTGCTTTCTTAAATGCCATGACTTCGATGCTAGAAGCCAAGAACTTCAGCGCTTCAACTGACGGACTGAAGGACTGGAAGAGACGTCCGATGACCGAAGCCTTGAGTGGCCATCTTCCTCTATTTCCAGGTGACATGACTGCCACTGATCTTCCGAGGATCTCAAAGAGTATAACAATCTCCCATGTTGCATTCCTCACCTTTGATACGAGACCTTTATTCTGGAGATCATTGTATTCATTTTCTTTGCATTCTCCATCTGTTAGTTCGTCGTTTGCCTTCTTCCCTTTCAACACACCAACCCCTAATTCTTGCTCGTAAGGCTCCAAGGAGCAAATGAAGAGATTGTTGCGTAGAATCTGCCGTACCATCTGCATTTCGTCTTTTTCCTTTTCCTTTTCGATATGTCTTCTGGGCACAGGGGCGGCGGACGTCAGAAGGAGGTCGGGAATCGTCTTACGCAAGTGCGAGGTAAGTAGGTTATTTCGACAGACGAGCAGGATCTTTTCGTCCTTGTCCGTGATGGGTCCATTGGAGAACCATGACATGAAGATGTTTCGGATCTTTTCCTGGAGTAACCACGTCTTCCCGGTCCCAGCTGCACCTTTGAAGACAAAATCCTTTGCTCCATTCACCAACATGTCCAGTTTGTCTGCAGTTAGGAAGTTCAACCTCTCAATCGTCAATCGCGCAGTGTAGGCCGGGGTTGCATATATAGGGCCGATGTATCTGAGGAAATAATACAATATGTTAATATACCATATCTAAGTGATATATTGGTCATGACTTACAACTCAACTCACCCCGCATATTTATCCCTGTTGAATCAATATATACCATTAAAACGACTTACATTGCCACGAGCTGAAGGTAGGTTCTGGAATCAATAGGAGGGATTTCAGCAAGTTGCGACTGGAGAATATGCTGATGCCACCATCGTTCCATGGTCTCTGCTGACTCATTGTCTTCGGCGCAGAGGAAGACAGTATTGGCACCATGTGATGTTCCTGCTACTTGATCTCTTTTCGCATTTGTGAGTGCTATGATACGGAGCGATACGTTCATACCTGTCAATCCACATTCCCTCGTGGCAGCCTCCAGACTGCGCAAATCTTTCTCAAGCTGCTCTTCAGCTGTTTGGATGTTTCTCTCCAATGCTTTTGTGAGTTTGTTTCCGGTCTGCTCAGTATCAAGATTCTTAACTTGAATGAAGATGATTCCAATGTGGCGATGTATCAGCACGATATCGTGTTCTCCGCATACTAGGATGCCTTCAAGTCCACCCCCTTTATTTCTTCTCTCTATAAGGTGGACAAAGTTACGGTTATATGTGATGAACATTGGCATTTTGTTTATTTTCCCCATTTCACATAAATGACGAAGTAGGGTCCTTTCAGACTCTTCCCCAGCAGACTTCGCTGCATTGATCCATCCATTTATGTCCTCGACTGGCGGAACAAGGCGAGTTGTTTGTGGACTCTCCCAATCTCGGTATATACTCTTGATATGTTCTTGAGCTTGATAGAGCCACGTTGATTCCAGAACTGATTCACTTTCGTTCGTTGATTCCTGAACTGATTCACTATCATTCGTTGCTGTCACAACTAGAAAGAAGAAAGAAATGCACTTAACCCAGTACCTTTAACACATTCCCTTACAAAGTAGATGACACATGATTATTCAGACATCAGCATCACTTACTGAAATTACCTCTTTAAATGACCTTACGCTCGAACAAGGTATATATACAGCATGTTTATTTATGGCGTCAACGACAATGGCTTGCTTTCACAGTTGGTATATGCATTTGCATTTCTTAACATACTCTGCACAAGGTACTCTCCATGAGCACAAAAGTGTATTATCGCTTACTCGCTTGCTCTCAAGTAACTCAGTAATATTATTTAACTTCTTAGAAATACGAATTATAACTCAGTATCCTCTGTCATTATTCTACTGAACTATTTCATGTGGCAACATTATCCCTTTTTAAAAGACATAGTATCCTTTTGAAAATACAGACTGGTAAAGGTTTTATGAATCCTCATCCATAAGAGACGTGAAAACTATTGAAATAATTTGCTTACGGCGAGAAGTACTATGGTGTTGGTGTTTTCTGATTGAAAAATGATTTTTCCACTGACAATGCACAATGCAAGCATCGCGTGACATGCTTGGCAAGGACGAGAATTGGAAACTTCGATACATTTGCTAGCTTATTGAGATGTATGTTGCTTACATTCACTGACATCCCTCTGGGAAACTCAAGGATCTGCGCTAAGTGGATGCCATTGGCAAGGCATTCTAAAGGAGATTGTCCATTTGTACTTTCCCACAATCTGTGAAAGGCGGTATTCGCCGGTTACATTTTTGGCAGATATGTACTGCACTGAATATACAGCATTTATTGTATTTAACGATTGTCGCCGAAAATGTCAAGCCTATATTTGGTAAGGAATTCTATATGCCGTCTCTCCCTGTACACGCTTAATTAGAATTCGCTATTTTGTACCTATTGCATTGTACTCTGGAAAGTACTCATCATAATGATATGTGAAGAAAATTGCTTGGTGTTTCAGTGTATGCCTACCATTTTTAGTCATTTTGAGTTCTCCATTTTCCCCCATGGAAATTACTAACAAGACCTAAGGGACATGCATCACATGTTGCGCAGTTTACGTGTGTATATGCATGATGCATTCCACTTGACGTCTAAAAAGCTAACTCACGATTCAACCGAGTGTGAAGCCCATGACATTACGAAATGGTGAGTTTTACTTTTACGGTTGCCCTAAATTAGTTCTGTAATTACAAAATTACATATTGGGAAACATTCGCTTTGAAAGCCGCTTCCGAAACTCCTTCAGGAACCAACATGACCTCGCGAAATTTCGCCGATTTTTATTCATCCACACCAAGTGAGCAGTACCTTGAACGCATTATATGTGTGAATGTGTCTCACTATATTATGTCATAGTGTCGCACCATGCCAGGATGATAAAAAAATGTTCATTGGCATTGATCAGATTACGAATATTTAAACACAGTTTCGAATACGTGTGGCATTTGTCATATTTGTGTGACTGTGACAGCACCACATACCATTTGTATTGGCAGACATAGTTCTAAATGATCAATTAAAATTGAAACTAATGCTCGGTTTATATGTCGTACTTGAATAGTAACAAATTCCAATGCAATGTTGTCATGTTTCTCAAGCCACTCCATTATATTCAATTTACATGACACATTTAACTAGCAGCAAACACATGCCATATAGGTAATATGCGAAAGAGAGCAATCCCACCACGTATGAAAAATTACTCATATTCGCACCTCCTAAATAGACGATTTAGACGAAATATTGAGTGAATTCCGATGTTCCGAGTTCCTTGAGGTCGCAAGGTATGAGAGAAGTATGTCTACGAGAAGGCTATGAGAAAAATAATTTGACTCAGACAGTTATTCCCGCACTGGAATGAATTGAAAGGGTTATATCATGTGGAAGGCGAACGAACTTCCAGAAAATTCCTTGACCCTCAAAGTCGAGTTTAAAGGTCGCCTTACTATGCCATAACTTCAAATGATTTCACGCTGGCAATTAAATTTCATACTTAAAAACGGATTTTCGCTCACTATTTCCAATTATCAGTAAGCGTGGTGACGAGTTAAATGATATCGAAGTATTTATAAACATCATCCCCGCCCATGCGATTAATCTGCAGCAGCAAAATTACTCTATTTTTGAAACCCTCAATTATTCTTAATGAAAGAGAAGATACAGGCAATGACATTCCGATAGAACCTATGTTAAGGAAAGTCATAACATAGTCATATTTTTTAGTATAACGAAGCATAACAATAACAGATAATCTGTGTCCTCTAACTCTTTCAGTGCTGAATTTCATGTTCTCCATCCTTATACTGCAGACTATGACATTTTAAACAAAAATCGCAGCAAAGAAACTACAATTACTCTTAGTTGCTTTTTTATAAATATACAGGTGTGCACTTGTACTATGAATTTATTATGAAAATGCTAACCTTCTATTCGAAATGAACACTTGAGTTCTTCATAGATGTGCCCCGGGAGCTCATCTTTCTGGTTGAAGATCCAAAAGTATCCGTCAGCATGTCCCCGGTGTAGGTAACATAGATCATGAATCCAGTGGAAATTATCATTCTCGCAAAGCTTCTGGACACAAATCACAAATATATGATCAAACGTCTTTCCATCCTTCCGAAATGCTTCCAACTTGGGAGTGTCCAATGCCTTGACCTTCACTATGGTATTCCTGGAGTTTATCCTGCTGCATACTACGAGGGGCAGTCAAATGAAACGTAGCGGAAGCCTGTGATGTAATACAGGAGCGCTGACCAGTGGTCATCGTTGGTGGGGTGGTAGCCCTGCTTGTCGGCTTGCAACACCGCGCAGGGGTTGGCGCCCCTGCCATTGTCGCGCTGACAGGGGCTTCTCGAATATGGCGGTGTACAAGATGGAAGCGTCCAAGGAAGAGCAGCGTGCAGTGATTCGATTTCTGACTGCCGAAGGAGAAAGTGCAGCAGGAATTCATCGCAGAATGCTTGCAGTGTATGGCGAACATTGTTTGTGTGAATCTGCTGTGCGGAAATGGTCGGCGCGATATCATCTTGGTCGAACGTCAGTGAAGGATGATCCGCGTCCAGGCCAAGCACATGTTGTCATTACGGAGGAAAACTGTGCGGCGGTGGATGAACTGATCCGAGCCAACAGACGCATAACAAAGGATGAAATTGCGAATACTGTAGGGATCAGTCATGGCAGTGTCCACACCATTATCCATGAAAGGCTTGCGTATCGGAAAGTCTGCGCCCAATGGGTACCTCGACACCTTTCTGAAGAACAGAAGGCGGAACGCGTTCGACTGTGCCAGCAGCATCTCAGTCGATACGAAAAGGAGGGTGACGAATTCCTGAATCGTATTGTGACAGGTGATGAGAGCTGGTGTCACCATTACGAGCCAGAAACTCGTCGATCAAGCATGCAGTGGAAGCACGTGTCATCCCCTCCTCCCAAAAAATTCAAGACAGAGGCCAGTGCAGGGAAAGTCATGTTGTCATTTTTCTTTGATCATAAGGGACCTATGCTTGTGGAATTCTTGGAACATGGCCGCACAATTAATGCGGAGCAGTATGTGATCACTCTTGGGAATCTGCGTACCAGAATCAAAAACAAACGCCCAGGTCTCTTGACAAAGGGTGTCATTTTGTTACACGACAATGCGCGCCCCCATACGGCGAAGGTAACGAAAGAAAAGCTGACACGGTTCCGGTGGGAAATACTGGAGCAACCGGCCTACAGCCCAGACTTGTCGCCATGCGATTTCCACATCTTTGGAGACCTCAAGAAGAATCTGAAAGGCAGGAAATTTCCGTCGGACGCAGCGGTGCAGGAGGCTGTTTGCGAGTGGGTTCGATCCCAGCCCAAGGAATTTTTTGAACAGGGCATCCGTCGTCTGGTTTCACAATGGAAGAAGTGCCTTGCCAACCATGGTGATTATTAACA